ATAGCTGTGAAGAGTCGTTCATGGCACAGAAATCTCTTGTCTATTATTTCCAAGAAACACAAAATCTGAGGATTCTGAGGACAATCCATCGGTATCCGAGTATACTTTGCCTTCTCTTTCTCCTTCTGTATTTTTTCAGTTAGGTATCTTATGATAATAGAGCTCTAAAGATTATATGTGTATATATATATATATATATATATATATATATATATATATATATATAATAAATAATTTTTTTTTTATAAATAAAGCAGTACTAATTTATATAGGGTTGAGCAGCCATTTAACTACATCTTACTAGTGGCTATGGGTTGAATGTAAAAAACATTGGTTCTCTAACTGTTTCTTTAATAAATCTATGCTTTCTGCATTTTAACAGGTACCAGTGCTTAACTGTTGCTGTCACTTTTCATTTTATTCTTTGAAATTGAAATGTTACAGCTTGCTCCATAAAAATACAACCAGCATGTAACACATAAGCTGAACTTATAAAACCTAAAATCTAAAATAGCCAGGATTTATAACCGCAAGACATTAGTTTAAGCTGCACTTTTAGACTGATCCATCCCCAGATGCAGCATACAATTATGTTGTAAATTGATGTCAATTGGAATAATTGCTAGCATACCACATCATGGCCTGGTGTGAATTGGGCTGGCATGTGAGAGCATTGCTAAGTAAAAATCTTTTTCCCAAATTGTTTTAAATTGAGTCTTGTTATTTTTGTCCCACTTTTTTTTTTCTAATTTCTGAAGCTCAGTACAATTGTTCTTGCAATTACAAACATCTTCCCTCCAGAAAAATGTCAAGACTCCATGCTATACTTTTCACATTTCCAGGTAACAGTTATAGGCCATTTTCATGGAATAGTCATGCATTTTCTCATACAGAAGCCAGATGTAGGATAGAGACATTTTAGTGGTAGTAATAAAGAATTTTTAACTCAATTTGTAGCAAAATTGGAACTTATAGCAGGAAATAAAAGAGCTTGGTTCAATGATTTAGACCAGAGGTCTCTTAACTTTTCAATATGAGGGCTGCATTGTATATTACAAATATTTCCGGGCCGAAAAAAAAATCAGTTTAAGGCTACGGTCACACTAGCTTTGTCAGCAGGCGTCAGACAGGAGTTTGGGAAGCTTTTTTAACGCTTCTCAAACACCTATGAAAATTCTGCACATGGCAGCACACAGTGCTGTTCACACTGAAGCGTTAGGGTCGCATCTCGGCAAACCTGATGCCTCATGTCGAATCAGGAGGAGTTGAAGCCTTCCATTCAAGTCTATGGTGGTGTTCCTTAAACGCCTGGCAGTCGTTTGCGAGGCGGTTGCGAGGTGTTTGTGGAGTGTTAATACCGTTTAACTTCATTATAGGCATTTGTGGTGAGGTTTTAATGCTTAGAAAACGCCTATCAAACGCCTCAAAACCGCGCTTAGGGCGTTTGGGGAGCATTTGGGAAGCGTTTGAGGAGTGTTAAAAACGCTTCCCAAATGCCTGTCTACCGCCTGTCAAATGCTATAGGGGCGTTTGGCAAGAGTTAGAAATAAGTCAAGTGTGAATGAGCACTTAGGGTGAATCCACTCTATAATGGAAAATGAGGACTCCAAAATATGAGCCCGACATCATAAGCATGCGGACGCCAACCCTATATATATATATATATATATATATATATATATATATATATATATATATAATTAAAAATTCTCTGAAGTAGGTAGAAATTAGGTTAGGGCCCTTTAAGAGAAGAGGATAAAGAAAAGAGCGGGAAGAGGTGAAGCACGTGACCATGGAAAAGGTGGGAAAGCTTGGGGCTCATTATATAAAGGCACTCTGTGACAGGGAATTTTGCAGGTGGTCAGAGTTGGCCAACAGGCTCCCCACCCTCCTTCCCTTGTTGCAAGGCACTATTTATGTGGTTTGTGTCACCTTTTCTGTAGAAAAGAGGGACTTATTGATATAATTATTTCAGATAGCTCGAGTCCTGAAAGACTGAGCAAGTTTATTCATGGTTGATAATAAAGTGTAAGATGTTTGAATAAATTATACTGCAAATTTAAGTTATGTTATGTGTAGTTACTAATAAAAGTGCCACGGCCAAAATTTATGCCAAAAAAAATGTGTGTGTGTGTGTGATCATTTGAGAGCAAATTATTAAGTATAGATAGTCGGGAAGAGGGATAAAGTGTGGCCTGCATTCCCATGAAAAACGAGGGCTCTAACATAGGCGCTTGATAGCATGGCCATGCAGACACCATCCCTCTATATTTAAAATTAAAAAAAAAATTCCTCAGAAATACAGCAGGTAGGACTTAGGTTAGGGCCCATTAAGAAAGACAGATAAGGAAAAAAGTAGGATGGATTAAGCACGTGACCATGGAAAAGGCGGGAAAACCACGTGACTTGGAACATTCTGGAATATTGGAGGCTTATTATATAAAGGCACTCCGTGACAGAGATTTTTGCAGTTGGTCAGAGTTGGCCAATGGGCTCCCCACCCTCCCTCCCTTGTCGCAAGGCACTGTTTATGTGGTTTGTGTCACCATTTCTATAGAAAAGGGGGTCTTATTGATATAATTATTTCAGATAGCTCAAGTCCTGAAAGACTGAGCAAGTTTGTTCATGGTTGATAAAAAAAGTGTAAGATGTTTGAATAAATTATATTGCAAATTTAAGTTATGTTATGTGTAGTTACCAATAAAAGTGCTGTGGCCAAAATTTATGCCAAAAAATAGAAATGTAGTGTGTGTGTGATCATTTGAGAATATATTAGTAAGTATACTGTAAGTAAACAACAAAAAAAAGAAAGCGCCAATCAACAGTATCAATCCTCTCCAGCAGCAAACCCAATGGGCGGAGCTTATTGGATGACGTCAGGACGTTCCCTGGAGCTGTCGGCGAGGTGTCCGCGGTGAACGGGGCTCGTCCATTCCGTATATCTGATCGTTTGCTATACCAGTGTCAGGTGGACACTTTATTTTGTGAGTAGGATGCGATTGAAATAAAAGTTTTAATGGTTCTTACTTGCTGCACCATCATGCCTTTTCTTTATTTTTGAGTGATGTTACTATACATTTGGAGGATGATCGTTTTATAAGGAGTCTTGGCTATACCTCAAAATCACTGCAGAGTATTGTTCCTGCTATCTGGAAGTGTCTATACTATAGAGTGCTGCTTCATGATCTACTTATTCATCGCTCCCAGAGCAAGCAAAACGCGCTTGTGCTGATTTATAATCTAATCAGCATTGAGCTCTGGTGAGTTTTTATTCCATTCATTTGGTGGTGGATATAAAGCACGGTGGAATTACATGTTTAAAGAAGAAAATTTTCTGTTTTTTGTTGGACATTTCTTCTATACACTTATATGCACGAAATTTATGGATTATTTTCACTGAAAAGTTTTTTGTATTTATAATGTTGGGACTTTTATACACATATTTGTGATATTAATTTTGATATATTTTTTAGCGCATTCCAATTGCTGATTTTTTAGTATACTGTAAGTATTCGGGGAAGAGGGATAAAGTGTGGCCTGCATTCCCATGGACAGCTGCTAGAGCGCCTTACCTCTCCAGTAGCTGTGTGTTCCCAAATGTTGGCGGGAGCTCCAATTAGAGCACCACACATCTCCCTTTCTTTTGGTTTTGATCAAGCGTTATTTGAAGTGCACAAAAGTACACTAATTCATGTCGCTGCTGTAGAGAGCCATACGGTTCTGTATAGTACGCTGCAATAAAATGTGAGCTGCAATAGGATGCAGCTTACTGCAACTCTGGGCTGCATATCGATGTGAATGACACACATGGAAAACAATTGTTTTTTGTGCATTCTGGCAGTAACAGGTGTTTTTCAATGCATCACACTATGTATGAATTCACTCTTATACCTGAATAATGTTGAAATGAATGAATATGTTTTACTTGGAGCTTTTTGTTTTCAGCATGACATGATTTAGAACAACAGAAAAAAAAACGTCTTCAGTAAATCAAAGCAAAGAAAGGGCAAGAAATCTTGAGACCATCATAGTCCCCATCAAAATCTGCCCTTACATCAGAGTCCCCAAAAGAGCCCCCTTTTACATCAGGGACCCCATCAGATTTCCCCTTACATCATAGTCCCTCTTACATTTGGGTCCAGACAGAGGCGGACTGACAACTCATGGGGCCCCCGGGTAATAGGGGATCGTGGGGCCCCTGTGTCCTTGCCCAAACTCAAAAAAGCCTACGAAAAAAGTACCAGGGGCATCTCATGGGGCCCCCTACTAACCCCGAGCCCTCGGGCAGTGTCCGAGTTTCCAAATGGTCAGTCCGCCCCTGGGTCCACATTACAGTCTCCATCAGAGGCACCCCACCTCTTACATAGGAGTCCCTATCAGAATCCCCCTTACATCAGAGTCTCAATCTCATTCTCCCTCACTACAAAGTCCCCCTTGCATTGCAGTCCCCTTAAAGTAGAGTCCCCCCTTACATGAGAGAGGCAATAGCAGCAAATAGAGGCAGAGCAGATCTGGACAAAGGAAGGGTCCATCCTCCTATGAATTCTGGGGCAAGCACACAATTGTTTGATAGGATGCTGGTTGTCCTAACAACCAATGTGATACAATGACAGTGTAGAAGCTGTGCTCACTTTGATTAACCAATTATTTGTGAGGGAAATTTAAAAAAACAAACAAAACAAATAACTAACTCATGATTGGGCATTTAACTTTAACCACAAGCCTACAGGGCATGTATACCCCCTTCCTGCCAGGCCAATTTCCAGCTTTCAGCGCTGTTGCACTTTGTATGACAATTGCGCGGTCATGCAACACTGTACCCATATGAAATTTTTTTTGTGACATATAGAGCTTTATTTTGGTGGTATTTAATCACCTCTGGGTTTTTAATTTTTTCTTAAACAAAGCAAAAACCACTGAAAATTTTGAAAAAGTTTTTTCTTAGTTTTTTGTTATAAAATTTTGTAAATAAGTGATTTTTTCTCTTTCACTGATGTGCGCTAATGAGGCTGCAGTGATGGGCACTGATAGGTGGCACTGATGGGCACTGATGAGGAGGCACTGGTAGGTGGCACTGATGGGCACTGAAAGGCAGCACTCATATATGGCACTGATAGGCGGCACTGATAGGTGGCACTGATAAGCGGCACTGACTGGCACTGTTAGGTGGCATTAACTGGCACTGTTAGGCGGCACTGATAGGCAGCAATGACGGGCACTGATAGGCGCCACTGATTGGCACTGATAAGCGGCACTGACTGGCACTGATAGGTGGCACTGATTGGCAGCACTGATAGGTGGCACTGACTGGCATTGATAGGTGGCACTGACTGCCACTGATGGGTGACACAAAGGCAGATCAGATGGGCACTGATATGTGGCATTGATGTGGCACTGAAATGTGGCACTGATGAGGCACTGATGGGCACTGACAGGTAGCATGGATGAGCACTGATACATGGCACTGATGGACACTGACAGGTGACGCTGCTGGGGCTACACAGATCATCAGGTACACTGATCATCAGTGCTCTGATGATCTGTGTACATGTCCCCTCCGAGGAATGCCAATTACCGGCTCTCCTCTCCTCACGAGCTGTCAGCGTGCGTCTGTCATATTACTATATGGCGGGCGGGAGGCGGTTAAAACCACTTCACCTTATTTACTAACATTAATTTTGTAAAGTGAGAGCACAGTTTACAAGGGGAATTGCTTCTACTCCTTAATATATGAACCCCTGTATGTGTGATCAGACAGGGCATTAAACAACAAAATTTCAAGAGGTCACTGACCATTATTCCCTTCATAAAAGCATGACTGAAGTATTGCTGATGTGCGGCTGCCATGAAACCTCATCATAACCCATAAACCTTTACCTTAATAAAAAAATGACACCAAACACTTAACTTGGATTTCAAATGGCCATAGCAGCCCTTTTATTAACAAAACCATAAATTAATATAACAAATTCTTACAACAAACGTTTTAGCAATAAAATTCGTTCTGAGCCTTTCCTTTTTGTCTCAGGTTCCTGAAGGCCCCCTTTTTACTACCGCACCGGCTGCATCATCCACCACATTCCTATTCTGGCCCCTAGCCGCAGTTACACCGGCTCAGGGACAAATTGTTGACCCTTCTGACACCTTTGATACAGCCCCATGACCGATAACCCCAACTGCTGTCACTTCAATAGGTAAGGTATACCCATACCGAGATGGGCCCTACCCATTGCACTCCACATACTGTTTTTGTACCATACTGGTCTACACGAACCTGAGACCTGCTATAACAACAAAAAAAACCCAACCCCACCTAAAAAACCCACAACCTAAAACACCATGAACCGGTTCTCGGGAAAAAACTGACCCCACCAGGACCTCACAGCTTCCATACCAAACGACATGGAACTGCAGAACCAATGACAATGGCAAAACGGGAGGGCAAGTTTCTTCTTCTCAGACCAAGCTCCCACTGACCATCAAGGAACTCCTCCTTTCCATTAAGCCACATCTACCACTCCCCACCGCACCCAGATCCACCCTCTCAACCACCAAAAAGGTAAGTCTTACAATCCCCTTTTAAATTAACCAATTAGCACGTCTGTCTCTAGCTTTCCCTGCCAACTCAGTCATGCAGGGCCTACAATTATGCTGCGCTTACAAATTCTGGCCCTTTTTGTACCCACGTCTGTCCTCACATGTTCCATTAAATTTACTTAATTTATCAGACGCCGTCAGTGACAGATCTATGTCACACTAGCAACTCCCCCTCAACGGGATTGCCAAGACAGCAGAGAGAGAACACTCACCTGCTCCTCTGACATCACTCACTCATTGACAATTACGTGTAACAATTTAGCCACAACACATTTGTGGTCTGACAAATACTACAAAACCTATGTGCCTTATAAAGATAATATCTTAATATCCAAAACAATTCTGCCCCTGGAGGACGTCAGATGACAAAGCGCATAGGGCGGGGTTTTGGACGTGACGTAACCTCACTCGCTGGGGTTGTCAGTTCGCGGCCAGAGATTGCTGTCAGAATGAGCCCCGGGTTTATATTTATGCTGTGTAACTTGTCTCAGTGGAGCCACGTGAAAATGTGAGTGCTCATGTTTTTTAAAAAGAAAAATTTAATTTTAAGGATTTTTTACACTATGCAAATTCTTTCTCTCCTCCTCCCCCTGTTATTGATGATCAGGATATCATTGGTGATCGAGAGCTATTTATTTATATTTTATTGGGTCTGCAGATTATCACTCTCAGAGGGGAAATGCACTGTCAGCTGGCTGTTCACACACACCCAGCATGCACCTCTCGGTGAGTTAATTTAGTATTTTTCCGTGGTGAAATCAGAGTGGTGTTTGGTGGAAGAAAGAAGAAAGAATAAGAATAAGAAAGAAGCAACCATTATTATTCGGTTCATCACATGGGACTGTTTATGAATCAAGGAATGTGCTAAATGTAATTTGATTTATAGAGATTGAATTTGCTTATGGCACACAACTGCTTTGCATTGTAAGTGGGATGGGGTATGCTTTTGGTCATTTTACTTTTCATTGTATTTGACTTTCATATTGATTTAGAAGAGGTTTAATGTATATTATAACACAGTTTATTGAAATCTTAGATAGTAAGCTCCAAGGATCAGGCCCTCCTAACCCTCTTGGATTGAACTGTATTGTTCCTGTATTGTCTTCCTTTATAGTGTAAAGCACTGAGCAAAATGTTGGCACTATATAAATCCTGTATAATAATAATAATAATTAGATGAATGCACTACAAGGTATTTATTAAAAATACAATACGGTGAGTGCAGCACCACCCTTTGTGTTAAAACTTTATCACTCACTCATTGACTGATCCTTTTTTGCTCCATCATCACTCCCTTGCTGGTGTGCAGTATTTTGGCCAGCAAAGTAATGATGTCATAAGAGCAATAAAGTACTCTTTTTAGCAATCCTGTTGCTGGCAAATTGCTCCCAGTAACAGGATCATGAGTGTGACATGGCCCAAAAAAGGCAGATATGAGTTTGAATTACGCACCACGCACTCATCCTTTTCTCTCTAGTCTGCAAACTGTCATTCCAGTACTATCATAAAAATTACATGAAGTTATAAAACAAGAAGTATATTAGGGCTTTAATATTCATATCAGACAAGAACAAAGGAAATTACAACACAGTAAGCTTCAGCCCCTTTAATGATTATCACTATAGCTTTTATTTTATTTTTTTCAATTGCTTGTCACTTTTCATTTAAAGCAGTCCATTTTCCATTACAGCAGAGATAATTGTTCTCTGTTACTATTCTTCTGTGATCATCATTTCACTCCTGAAGTTGTACTTAGCAATGGGGATTGACTTTACAATTACATTAACATAAACCTGCATTTTCTTTTGTATGCTCCCTGCTTCATGCATTGATAGAGTCACTGATCTGGAAAGCGGGAGCTCCTGTAAACATCAAAACTTGGGAGTGAACTGTAGATAATAATATCTGGCCCATGCATGCTGCCATGATTTATAATCTTACATGTCATTTTGTTCTTGACCTTCTCTATTCATTACGACCTCATGCCTCTCAAGTGTCCCTGAATTATCATGTTATATTAATTGCCAACATATCTACAGAGAGATTGCTCGCAAACTCAACTCTCATTCTGCAAATTAGTTCTTACATTTTCTCTTTCTTTCTGCCACCTTCAGCAAGACCTTTTGCCTCCTATTATCCTTATGTTTCATTAGATCAGCCACAAATATTCCTCCGGTAGGTTTTATCTTAAACAGTACACTTGAAGAAAATGAATTCCAGTCCATGGCCGAGTGAGTGTTTTGAATGAAGTCTTTGTTCATAAAATGAACATAAATCATAGCCTCAGGTCAATATGTTTTGCCACACAAAGTAACCACACATGAAACATTACAGGGGTTTAAAGACATTAAAATCAACCCGTGAGAACTGAAATCTGAAAAAAAATAGAAGTTGCCATTGCTGGCTTTAAATCTGCAGACTATGGAGCCGTCATCTTTATCCTGGCTTCATTATCTTATGATTCTGTGACTAGGAACAAGCAGGTAGGGTGGACTTTAAAATTTTTATTCTTCCCTGGGTGCATGCTTGTTCCAGATCAATGATTTACTAGATAATAAAGCAAGGGTCATGGATATATCTACAAAGACTGCAAATGTGATCTGCAGCTCCAGTTACAAAATACAAAGTTCCACAGACACTGGGGTAATGTTATTTCCTTTCATCATGACTCATATAAAGATAACTAATTTATATTGAATCTATATTGAGTTTCTGGACTCTTCAACAATTCATGTGGCTAGATTTCAGTAGGTGTAAAAGTTTTGAGTAAACTACATGTAACATAATTATAACACTGTTTCCAGAGGTGCAGAAGAAAAATGTGTTTTATTTTGGATTCATTTGTTATGTCAATCATTTTGTTTGTCAAATGATTTATGTTAGCATGATTTGTTTTCGAAATTAGTTTTGCATATTCAGATTTGTTTTAAATATTCGTTGTCCCGAATCCATTTGGAAGTTATTTTAGAAGATTTATATTCATTCGCTATGTCGTAATGTTTTTTCAGTGACTTGTTTGCCATTTACTTTGATGCAACTTGCTTGCAATTTCGATGCAACTTTGATGTTTTGCTTAACTTTGGCCAATCAGAACAATAGAGTATGACACATAACTGAGCTTACAAACCCTCTGAAGTCACAAATGAATGAAACAAATGAATATTAATACATTCCTTGTTTTTGTTATCATTTATTTTGGATTCATTGAAATTTGTTACGATTTTGATTTGATTTGGAGATTCAGATACATCTGAATCGGCGAATAAAAAAAATGTTGTCCATATTTCAATTTGTAGATAAATGAATCTCACAAGTCTACTACTGTTATAACAATGCATATTGCATTTTGTCTGCTGTGTTGCACATGGCCTCGGCTGACACTTGTGCTGGATAGCCTCCCTTTACATATTCCACCCTTACCTTTCCTCCCATTGTGTGGGTGAAATTTAAAAAAATGGCAAAATCAAAATGTCAAAGCACCCCAATTAAGAAGTTAGGTAAAGTCAGGAAAAAGGCTAACACACCATTCTGTGATTATAATATGCAGATACAATAACTCAATTGCAAGAAAGGGTACTATACAAGAACCCATTTTTAAAATAACTGGCTATGGACCCTATGAGAACATTCACTGTGTCAAATAAATGACTCACCACCCAAATCAATTACTTTGCTTTGGGTAGAGTTGGACAACATGGTGTCTTCCCTGTTGTCTGAGAGCCTGGTAGTGAGATCTCTATCCCATCATGATGTAGTCAAGATATGCATGACATGGTAAGTCTGGTTGACAAGCTATGTAACTTGATGTTATTGACCTGTGGGCACTTTATACATTCTTGTGTATTGTTTTATGTGCACACAAGTATGTGCTCCACAAGAGTGTATCAGAAAAA